GAGTAATACATATGAAAGTTCACTGGAGTCATTATCTAAACTGCAAAGCCGAGCTGTCAGAATAATTCATGATGTGGGCTATTTAGAACACACCAATCAATTATTTGTAAAGTCCAAAATAATTAAATTATCGGATATTGTAGAATTCCAAACCGCACAATATCTATACAAAGCCAGGAATAATTTACTGTCAAGTAACTTACAGAAAATGTTTCAAGAAAGGGAGGGAGGGTACGATTTAAGGGAAAAATGAAACTTTAAAATTCAGAGATGTCAAACAACAATGAAAAGATGGATGGAGTAAGGCTGTGGAACAGACTGAGTGTGGAGCTGAAACAATGTCCAACCATCAACCAGTTTAAAACGAAATATAAGAAAATCACCTTCACAAGATACACAGAGGAGGGGGCTTGAAGGTTTGTTTGTTTGTTTGTTAGTTTGTTTGTGGTGGCTTACGGGGTGGGGTTAGGTGGCTCTGAGTTATTATATTCAAATTTTTTTTTAATTTATTCATGTAATTTTGGTTTTATTTCTGTGAGTATCTGGTGTATTGCTGATACTGTTAGATTAATTTATAAAACAGGGTATCGTTATAACAGTGTGCACTGATGTGTGGACGCATGACTATATTGATAATCATGTAAAGTTTTATACATGAAAACAGGTGTGTATGTCAGTGTGTGTGCATGTGTATATACATGAGATTAGGGGGTAGGATTAAATAAGTTTCTACTTCTTCCTACTCCTTTTTGAGCATGTTTGTGATGATAAATGCATTTTCTTTTTTATTTTCTCTTGGCTGATTTAATTTTGTTTTCTTATTCTTATTTACCTTTATTTATTATTGATTATTATTATCTTTTGTTTTGTTTTGTTGATTTCACTGTTTATGTTCGAAATAAAGATTACAACATTCTTCTTCCCCCTTTCCTGTCTCACTCTCTCACTGTCCTGTGAGGGTTGTATAGTATGTGTAGTAGGTGTGTAACGGTATTTGTATTTGTCACCTTTTTGACAGTTATCTTATTCAATAGTTTTAGACCAGTGGTCCCCAACCCCCGGGCCGAGGACCGGTACCGCTCCGTGGATCATTTGGTACCGGGCCGCACAAGAAAGAATAAATAATTGCATTATTTCCGTTTTATTTATTATCTGAGTCGGAACGATCTTTTATTTTGAAAAATGACCGGATTCTCTCCGACATCTTGGTTGTGTGAAAACTAAATTTTCACCCACAAGCTAGCAAAATGAATAAAAAACAAACGTCTTTGAAAAGTTTTTTTTTGAAGGGGAAAAGGCCCAGTGATGAGACAGAAGAAGAGCCTACGACTTCCAGGAAAAAGAAAGCCGCATTCAACAGACAATACCAGGAGTCCTACTTAAAATATGGATTTATCGCGACAGGTGACTCTCACGCACCAAGCCCACTCTGCATAATATACGGCGGCCAGCTCTCCAATGAGGCAATGAAGCCCTCAAAGCTGCTTCGCCACTTGGAGACCAAGCACCCTGAACTAAAAGACAAGTCCTCGGAGCATTTTGAAAGAAAAAAACGGCAACACGAAGAACAGAAGAAATTACTGAGGGGCACCACATCAACATTTCAATGCGAGCGCACTGAGAGCATCATACTTAGTGGCTAACCGTATCGCTAAGGCTAAGAATCCATTCACCGTTGGTGAAGAATTGATCCTGCCCGCCACTAAAGATATTTGCCGTGAACTTCTAGGAGAGGCTGCGGTTAAAAAGATAGCACAGGTACCTCTGTCGGCTAGCACCGTGACGCGGCGCATTGAAGAAATAGCCGAAGACATTGAGACACAATTGTTGGAGAGGATTAATACATCACCGTGGTACACACTCCAGGTTGACGAGTCTACAGATGTTGACAACAAGGCAATACTACTTGTTTATGTGCGATATCTTTATCAGGAGGATGTGCACGAGGATCTGTATGTGCACTATCGTTGCCAACCAAAACCACAGAACTATTCAAGTCGATGGATGGTTACATATCAGGAAAACTGAAATGGTCCTTTTGTGTCGGCATACGCACAGACGGAGCTGCTGCGATGACCGGACGGCTGTCTGGATTAACTGCTCGGATTAAGGAGGTTGCACCTGAGTGTGAATCTACGCATTGTGTCATTCACAGGGAAATGCTGGCTAGCCGAAAAATGCCACTGGAACTTAACAGCGTATTGAATGATGTCGTTAAAGTTATTAACCACATCAAAGCACACGCCCTTAACTCGCGCCTGTTTGAACAGCTTTGTGAGGAGATGGACGCGGAGAACCGACGCCTTCTCTTATATACAGAAATTAGATGGTTATCCCGAGGGAAATCGCTGGCCAGAGTGTTTGAATTACGAGAGCCGCTGCAGAGATTTCTCTCTGAGAAAAAGTCACCGCTGGCAGCACATTTCATTGACAAGTAATGGGTTGCAAAACTAGCTTACTTGTGCGACATATTCAACCTGCTCAATGAATCTGTCGCTTCAGGGGAAAATGACAACTGTCTTCAAGTTGGCAGATAAAGTAGCTGCATTTAAAGCCAAACTGGATTTGTGGGGACGGCGCGTGAACAGAGACATGTTGGACATGTTTCAAACCTTGGCGGAGATTTTGGGTGAGCCTGAGCCTTCATCCTCCCAGCTGGTGCACGATCACCTGTCTTTGCTTTTAAAAGAGTTCGAGAGGTACTTTCCAACCAGAAAAAGACCCACGAACTGCCAAGGGATGGATCCGCGACCCATTTGTCAACAGACCAGGTGAATCCAGCATGTCTATGCAAGAAGAAGATCAACTGCTGGAGATCGCAAATGACGGCGGACTTAAAATTATGTTCGAGACAACAACTCTGCCGGTGTTCTGGATTAAAGTCATGGCAGAGTACCCTGAGATCGCCACAACAGCACTGAAAACCCTTCTGCCATTTCCGACATCCTATCTGTGTGAAGCGGAGTTTTCTGCAGTGACAGCAACCAAAACAAAACTACGGAGTAGACTGGACATAAGCAACACACTTTGGGTGTCATTGTCTCCCATTACACCTAGATGGGACCGTCTCGTTGCAGAAAAAACAAGCTCAGGGCTCCCATTGAGTCATCGTTACAGTGAGTTAAAATTTTCATGCACTATATATTCGTTTTTGTGGTGTATCTGTATCTTATTTGTTCATTCATGTTTAAACGTTACCATAGCGACCAGAGTCAAAGAGTGTTTGGGGCAGAGTGGATATTATTTGTTGTTTGCGTGATGTTACGACGCTGCTAGTAAAGTTGCATTGGAGTTGTTTTTATGCCAGTCGTATCATTTTTACTTTGTTGTATTTATCCGCCACACCTTAAAGGCCGGTCCGTGAAAATATTGTATGACATTAATCTGGTCCTTGGTGCTAAAAAGGTTGGGGACCGCTGTTTGTCAAATTTCATCCAGTCAGTCTTTGGCAGACCTGCGAAGTGGTTCTGGCTCAGATATTGTTTCCTCTCTTCATACCTGTTCAAGAAAAATATATCATTACTTAGGATTACATCATGACTTAGGATTTTAAACATTTACTTTCAGATTCGCTCTTGTAGTCATAATAGTCATAATAATACAACGCTCTCCTGTCTGTGTCTGTCGTATGTGAACTGGCAGATCAATTTACTTTTTCCTCCTTTCCCTGAGGACTTCCTCTCTCCTTACAGGGTCTGCATTCAGTCTTTCCCTGTACTTGCGTGTCCTCTCCATGCTGGACATACTGTATCTGTCTCCCTTTTGACAAGAAATGCAGGAAAACTAATCTTTTAATATGCACAGTATGACAAACTGTAAAATATGGTTTTAAAAAAGAAAGATAAAAAAAACTTGTAAAATATGGCAACATGGAATTGACTGATTGAAAGTTGGAAAGTGGATCATTTATCATAAAGATATTTTACTTCTATCAAACATTTATATAAAGATGAATGAAAAACAAAGTAAATGTCATATGGTGTGACTGGGAAAACCTGTCACACCATATGACATTTTGATCAGTCAAGCTAAATTATTTGCAAACTAAAAACATCTAGCTAATAGTTAGCATGTAATTAGCCACTTCGCAGCATTGATCTTTTATAATTAATAAGTAAAATTTGTGGGAAATATGTATTTTTCATGCAAATAATGTCACACCATACAACACAAAACATTGACCACTACTGGTGATATCGGATTCATAACTTTTCAACTAAAAATCAGAAAAGCACGATTCACCTTAAAAATCTGCAAGTCATTCCAGAGATGTTACTGTAGCTTCCTGGTTGGCTGTGGTCCTCTTTATCATTATGATGTCCAAATTATTGCCCGTTCAAAATGTACATTATAGTGTCACACCATATGACGACCACTTTGTGGACAAAATGTATTTGGTCATAATTTGTTTTGACATAATGCATCAACATCAAGACTTAATGTGGTTACTGATAACACATTATTATATTCTATGCACTATAGAACTATCAAATATTTATACATTATTTGGAAATATGCTCTTATTTCTGAGGACACACATATGCCAGACAGTCACACCATATGACATTTTTGATGTTTAGATCAAAATTCCACGCAGAAATCTTATTAAAACCACAACACCTTTGGTATTATTTTACTTTATGTTGCCAGGGGAACAATATTTATTTATGTATTCTTAAAAGTTATTAATTTTTATGAGTATGTGACACACGGACAGTCAGCGTTGTGTTATTTGTCAACCACCCACATATTATTATGATTATTATTATTCTGCATGTTTAGTGCTGCTGAGAAAGATGTTATTGCTGTAACAATGGAAATTTCCCCTGGTGAGGGGAGCAATACAGGATTTTCTTATCTTAAAATGTTCAGCAAGTAAAGTGTTTTGTCAGTGAGAAGGTGAGAAATGTGAGCAAATAAGACAGTTAAGGCACTGGTGATTCAAGTAAATAATGTTAGTGTGGAGCTGTGATTAAGCTGTTGTGTTGAAATTTTCAGAGATGCCATGTGCCAAGGCCCACCGCTGTTCCCAGGCTGCCAGGAGGTGGATGGAGACCCGACGTACTCTGGATGTCGAACCCCAGCAGACTGCCAGTGGCAGCCATGCACGTAAGTAGCCAAGCTGTACATGAATTACATTGTATATTGTGAAGAGTTTTATTTTCTATGTCTTGTGCCAGTCACATGTGTGATATGATATCATATGGCCAGAAATTCACATGGTATGATATGTAAAGGATGGATGTTCAATATTTTGGTGTTGTGTGTTTTTGTAATAGGCTGTGGTACTGGTTACCACCACGCTGTGCACAGATGGCCAACTTCACTCGTGACTGGATGAAGCCACAAGTTGGTCATTCCGGCAGAGGCACCGCACAAGAAGGTAATATAGTTGTAGAGCAGTTGCACATCATAGCAAAATGCTGGTGCCATGATTTGCATTGTAACAAATGTTGTTGTGTTGATGTTTGTTCTTCTCGTTGGCGCGTCCCATCTGCGGAGCATTGCAGATTGGATTGTTGTGATGCCAGAGGGCAAGCTGTCCATCGGCGTCATGTCTACACCGGGGGGCGCTGCTGCCGAGTTCCTGTTCCTGTGCTGCCAAGGAAACCAGACGCTGTCCTTGTGCAGGCCCCAAGCAACAACCTGACAGCTAGCAGGACCATCCATGAGGCCGCCGCAGATTTCTGCCAATTTCTTGCGACGGTCTGCAGCCATCATACCAGTGTAAGCATGGTTTAAAAAAACTTTGTGGTTGTGCACGTGTTTGTGGTATACACATTTATTTGCAAGATATGTTTATTTCTGTAGATTAATGTATATGGTTGATGTGGGAAGTCATTGAATGACAATGAGCAAGAATGATGTTTTGCGGGTGGTTGTGACAGATTTTACTCTGCGCCTCAACGTAGACTTGAACTTGCAGCAACACCTTTGCCAGGAGTACCATCGCGTTGCTGCAAGCATGGGTACGTTCAATAGTAGTAGATACAGACATACACACAGCTGTAGAGAGACTTCTGGAACTGTAGCCAAAGATGTTGAGTAGTAAGCGCTGTGATATGAAAAATAATGTTTACTTGAGCAAACATACAGTACAAGATGTACATGTCTGTATTTCATAATGGTTTGTTTGTGCTTTGAAGGTGTAAAGTACTACCCGGTTGCCGAGTACTTCCCCATGAGCAATTTGGAGTTGTGGTGCAGGGATGGTGTAAGTATAACATGATGCTGCATTGTGGCAAATGGGGAACTGTACATTGAAAAGCACACAGCCTGTACATACAATGACAAGAAAATGAAGTTAATTGTATGTGTTACTGTTCATTTCTGCAGGTCCACCTGTCGGACACTGTGGGGATGCCTATCCTGGCACAGTTGCTGTGGATGGCTTCTTACATGGTAAGTTTGGAGCATTGGTTAGATGTCAATGTTCTTACTTAGTTGCGCGTGTTTGTATTGTGTAATTTATCATGCATATATGTGTTTTTGGTACATGCACTGTGTATGTGTATAGGTATGATGTGCACAATGCACGCTGCAATTGTGTTGTGTACATGTGATAAAGACAAAATATCTATTACTGTTTTTTGCAGGTTCTTGAGCCACCAGTACCCAAACCGCAGACCCCACCCAGACAGGCAAAGTGTGCACCATCTCAAAGAATTGTCGTCAAAGGAGAGGTCGTCAAACGGGATCCCTCAGCCAATCCGTTTGAGTGGAGCACTGTCCGGCGTGGTCGGAAGGTAAAAGATAGCTCCATGCAATTATGTGATGCCAAGTATTTGTAATGAGGGGTTTGTGTAGAAGAATTTTGTGCAGTTATTTTTATGGGGTGCTTATTTTTAAATACATTCTCTCTGACTGTTTTATAGAGATGTCAAGCAGAGGACCAGCAGCAGGTTTGTTGTGATTGCATGAAGGTGCAATGTCAAAATTCAAAGATGCATAATAATGACACACAGGGTTTGAACTGGAGTACAAAAAGTGAAAAGCACTGTGTTGTTTCATGTCTACTTCATAGGCTACGTTGTGGGGCTGTTCCATCCCCGTCAGTGGTGGCAGGTTTAGCGCCCTGTCACATCTGGTGGAAGACGTTACTCCACCAGCTGCCTGCGTTTCAGCCACATCAGCGGTTCCAAAAGTCAGGAAGGTATTGTAGTAGCACATTGCAGCTGTGTTGTTATGTATGAAAATGAGTTATCCAAAAAAGGCCATAAAGAACAGTCGTGTGTTTGTGTATTTTAGGAACCACGTGCGAAACCGAGGCAGAGAGCTGCTGCCTCAAAGCAAAGCCTGCAGGTGAGTGGTTTTATCAGTGCAATGTTTGAGAAATGGCAATTTTGTGCTGAACAGTATAAAGCTGCAAAGGACTGAAAACGTGTTGACTGTTTATCAAATGTCTTTGTAGGTAGAGGCAGCTACAGCTGTTGTGCAGGTGTGCTCCTTGACATCCCGTACCGGTACAGCGAGCGCGTCGGTGACCCAGGAGGTTGGTGCATCCATTCATTCTATGGTGGTGTTGAAATGTAGCATGTGGAGGTGTGTCACTGTAATGGGGATAGATTGCATGTCAGTGTCTGTGTTGTGTGTTATTGCAATGTCTGTGTGTGTACCTACATGATTTATGCATTAGTTGTAATGGTTGCTTTTGTAGGCAGAGGCGGCTCCACATCGTGGGCAGGTGTGTTCCTGTGCATCACCTAGCTGTGCTGCCATGGAGGTGTCCGACACACCAAAGGTTTGTAAAGTTTTATGTCAAGTTATTTGTAATGCAGTACATGTTTAAGTATGAAACTATGTGAAATATGCTCATTATGAAATACATTCCTTGTCTGTTATGAGTTTTGTGTAGTTACACGTGTTTGATGTGCAGTTGACTGAATGCTGTGTTTTCCAGGCGGACGCAGCTCCAGGTCTTCAGTCCACATCTGCTGTGCGACTGCCTGCCAGGTCTGTGGGGGAGGGAGCAACGCAGAGCGCCGCTGACGTGACCGGCAACCGTGAGCACACCAGTGTTTGGAAACCGTGCGTTAGTGTAGAGCAACTGCCATCGGCCGTAGTTTCTCACAGTCATGTTCAAGATGCAAGTTTTCCTGTTCATGTTAGTGCATTAGGGTCGGTGAGGGGTTCGTTTCATGCGTTTTGTTTACGCTGGTGTTCAATGCATGGCTATAAGTTTAGGAGCCATAGCGAGACATAGAATTGACAGTATGTTCTCGTGGCAGCCTTCCTTTTCCTTAACTCTGCAAAGACTGAAATGATGATCACTGGACCCCAGAAGCTACAGAATGCATTTAGTAACGTGTCCTTGTCTCTTGATGATTTTATTATTCTTGGCAAGATGAAAAACCTTGGTGTTATATTCCATCAGACTCTTGTTTTTGATAAGCACATTAAGGAGGTGACAAAAATATCATTTTTTCATCTTCGAAGGATCGCTAAGATCAGGCCAATTTTAAGGGTCAAAGATGCTGAAGTCCTCATCCACGCTTTTATTACGTCTCGTTTGGACTACTGTAATGCTCTTCTGTCAGGACTACCCAAGAAAAGTTTCAGAGTCCTGCAGATGGTGCAAAATGCTGCAGCTCGGGTTCTGACTGGAGATGGAAAATTCGATCACATGACCCCGGTGCTGGCCTCTTTGCACTGGCCTCCATGTCAGGCTCGTGCTGATTTTAAGGTACTTTTAAAATTTTAAATGGACTGGCACCCTCTCATTTGTTAGATCTTGACACACTGCATGCACCTTCTCGTGCCCTCCGCTCGCAAGGATCTGCACTGCTGACTGTGCCGAAGGTCAGGATAAAGACTGTTGGTGAGCGAGCTTCTTCATTCCGTACCCCGACACTGTGGAACAGTCTCCCTCTCGACATAAGACAGGCCTGCTCTGTGGATGTTTTTAAAGCAAAGCTAAAGACCCACATGTACACCTTATCTTATGTGTCCTGAATTGTTGGATTGTGTTGTTTTATTGATTGTGTTTGATTTATTGCCTGTACAGCACTTTGTAAATAAAATTATTATTATTATTTTAATGGATACGGCGTTTATATGCAGCTGGAGCACACGGGAGCTGCTCAGCGCCAGTGTTTACAGAATGTTTTTGTTGGGATCACTTTCACAGCGATCTCAGAACAGCTTCTCTTTGCCTGGATATATTTTTTGTCTTTTCTATCTGAATAAATACAGAGCTTATATGCATGTGTAATGTTAACGTTGGTCAGCGTGGGTGCACACATCTTCACAGTAATCTCTATAGTTATTAGTATGGACGGGCCACAACAGTAAAATTGGTTCATGCTGACTGTCCGAGGAAAAGAACGGCAAAAACATCACAGTATCTGTTTGTCTGATAGGGGAAAAACGTGTCCCGGACACGAAAGATAATTCCAACTGAAATGTATTGGTTTGACATTTGTGCTGGTTAACACGAAAAAGTCAGGCAAGTCATGTCCCAGGACACGAAACAATAAGATGAAATTTCGTGACTATTTTCCGTATTGCCGTGAGACTGGGTCGAGTGTACACCAGGTTTCAGTATGAAATCCATGCAAACCCCTGCTGCTCTTTCATTGTTTGGCAGCATGGAAAATGGCTCAAGTTTTCTTGCAGCATCTGCATCTCTCACAGGCACAGGTTGGTTTTAAAAGCCCTTACTGAAGCGTATGCTGTAAAAAAAATAATAATAAAAAATCCGTGGATTTGCAGATAGTCCATTTTCCGTTAAATTTACAGACACTTCCTTCAACCCTATAATGAAAAATTCCGTGATTTACAGTATATCCTGTGTACCATTGACGGACAAATAATAAAACAGAAAATTCTGTCAAATTGAAGTATTTGTTAAACATCCCAGATAGCAAAATTCTTTTGGCCCATATCTGGCCCACACCTGACATGTTCATCCGGCCCACATACCGCATGGAATGATGGCACTTGGGAGGTCCGCTCTTGTTTGCCAAAAGTGGGCCACAACCAAGCCATCACAATGCCAGAAGTCAACCAAAAACAGGCCAAATAAACCAACACTCACCCAAATGTGGGCCACCACTGTAAATTTTTATTCTGGCCCACATCCCACATGGGATGATGGCACAAGGGTGGTCCACAGCTGTTTACCAGTAGTGGGCCACAATCAAACCAACACAGTGCCATATGTCAGCCAACAATAGACCAAATAAACCAGCACTCACCCAAATTTGGGCCACTATGCATTTTTATTCTGACCCACCTACCACATGGAATGACACGAGTGGTCCACACTTGTTTCTCACATATGACCCACAGCCTAGTCATAATGCTAAATATCAATCAAGAGTTGAATACATCAGAACTCACTCAACCAGGAGCCACAGTTAGCTCTCAGACTTACCCAGAACTGGTTTACAGTCTATGATTTTGTCTAGCCTGCACACTTTGGAGTCACAACCAAACCATGACAAAGTTCTATGTCAAATATGAACACATCATATAAATAAACCAGAGCTGGTCTGAATTTGTGGCTACATGTCATTATGGTACCTCCAGATACTGTGTTAAATGGTGGCATGCAGTGGTCCAGTCTTGTTGGGACTCATCTCAGGGTCAAAGATGATGATACCTACTGAAGAATTGAAGAAATAACCAGACCTGAGAAACAACTTGTGAAAAGTAGAGAACTATGATTCTTTATTTTTTTAACCTGTGCCACAAAACAGGCAAAACAAAACAAACATGAACAAAACTCAAATGCGGAACACCGTTTTTGACCTCCAACGCTCACTCCAAAAAAATCATGGCCCCAACATCGTCTCGTCTTCATCTGGCCCTTTAAGAAATGCACAAAAGAACATATTTTGTTGACTCAGTAAAGCAGTACTGTGGTTACTGTATATGGTTGCAGTGAAGTGCAAAACACAAAACTTTATCAGGAGACCAAACAAAAAAGGCCCTGTAAAATGATATAAAGTTATACAATATTGTGTTGATGTCTTTCAATACTTAAATCCATAGTCTGTTTTTAATTACAATTAATCTGTAGCTATAGTTGATATTGTGTCTGATCACTGACCCAATATCTGCTTGCTCAACCTCATTCTGTTCAGACAACAATGAAAGATGGTACTGATAACAAGCAAAGTGAACTGGAGTAAAGCAGCTTCATCAAACACTCTGACAAACTTCACATTTAACCTGAAGTTACAGTGGTGCACCCGCATTTTGTAATAACTGTTGAATTATGTAGTAAGTTATTACGAAATGCGTCAAAGTTTATTACAAAATGCGTTCAAGAAATGTATTACAAAATGCGGCGTTATTACATAATGAGGTGAAAATGTATTACGTTATTACATATTGCACCGTTATTACGTAATGCGTTGCTACACGGCTTAATCTCGATTTCTGCAGTAGAACAGTATCACACATATATTGCAAAATAGGTATTGTAGCTGACTTACGTGTGAGCTGTGTGGCACGCCTCTTCTCCTCCCTCTCTCTCCTCCCACCATCCCTGTCTCCGGCGAGATGAAGCCACCTTTTTATATAAGCCTCCACCTCCTGGTCTGTTGCAGTGGCCGTCAACTGATTGTTTCTGACTGTTCCTAAAAATTGAGAAAACTGTAAAGCTTTGGATAGATTGAACACAATGGTGAGAAATGGCTAGTTGCATGGCATGCTATATCCTGCCCATAGTTGGGCAGCAATGAGTGTAGTTTGGAAACAGTCTAGCCATGACCAGCCCATTACTAAAATTATAGGAGGAAAACTCTCCCCTTCAGCTGACGAACTGATTGCAGACCGGTATATTTTAGAGCATGCGACAGATAAACAGCTGGAGAAGATGGTGGAGCACAAAGTTTTAGAAATTTTTATTATGGTGCAGGTTGCTGACGTTTCGGGAAAGAATATGTCTTCTTCAGAGCAAACAGCATTTTAAGAATGGCAGCTTTAGACTGGTGCCTCATAAAATGTTTAATGATTGACTTGGTGTATATGTTGTTGCATTATAAGTGTTTTATAACAAGTATTAGACTGTCATAATTTTTAATTAATTATATTACTTAAGTGTGTCGTGACATGTGAGCTCTTTTATATGATGCAGCTTACCTGCTCCTCCAATCAGACATGTTTCACTGAGCAGGCACCCTAGTTAATATGCCCTGAAGAAGACTTACTCATGCAAAAATGTCAGCAACCTGCACTGTAATAAAAACTTCTAAAACTGACCGTGTGCTCCAGTATTTTCTCCCTACCAGCCATTACTAAAACTCATGTAGTCATGCACTTAAACAAATTTGAACACACATGGAACATGATCAAATAGCCTTCACTAATTGCCTGTGACTTGGTTTTGTAGCTGCAGCAGGAAAATCAACAAGCAATGGCATTCTATTAGAATAGAATAGAGTCTGCTACCACTCTGATGCATAATCACCCACATCTGCATCTTGATAAATTGATTATATGATTAATTTCAGCACCCCTATCTACTCACAAGCATGAAAGAAAAGGAAAACCAATTCATAAGACACATCACTAAGAAATATAACCCACAATTAACACTTACCAGTAATTACATCTTTTAACTGGAGGCTGTGGAATGCCGTTTTCCCATTCACACCACGCCAGTTTAGTTGTTTGGCCATGGAGTTGGTGAATATGTTCCTCATGATTCGCCACACGGTATCCTTGATATCGACCCCACCGATGACACTCAAAGCAGTAATCTCAAAAAAAGAAAGATAAAAAAAGAACATGCATGATCTATACAAGCAGTATTAAACCAGGCATACAATGTATGATTTTTGAAAATCTTGTTGTTTATACCAGCACTGCACACTGTACAAGTAAATCGTCTACGATTTATGGTCAAAGCTAACGATTTATGTACTCACACTGTACAGTATGCTCATCGAACGCGACCACAGTGCTCACACTTTACGGGTGAAAACTGGGTGAAAATGGCCCAAAGACTGACTGTCCTATCTATTGACAGCTGTCAATAAAGAGTTATTTAAATAAATCAATACATTTCAGTAAAGTAATTTCAGTGTGCTGTGGTTTATCTTTATTTTTCACCTGAGATGTCCCTGTAACCAGCTGATCTTCATTTTGGCTGCGCATGAGGAATTTTGTTTCCCACAGATGTACAAAACATGTATCCAAACACTCTTTACTTTAAAATAGTCCTCACTCCAATAAAAAAAAAATCTAGCATAAACACTGACATACACGAAATAGTTCTAGAGTGAGAAATAGATTGTTACCATTTTCTGTTTAAAGTCCGCCTCCTCCCTGACCCGCTTCTCCACAGCCAGTAAAGAGCTGATGTTCTTAAGTGGGAAGACATCCTTTTCAAGGACCTCCTGCCCACCAACAGGCTGTCCCTGGATCTTATTCAGGGTCAGGGTAATAATTTTGAGCTGCTCCATGATAAGCTCCTGGTTTGTCAGGAGCCTACGCAGAAGAGCTAAAAATAACGACATACAGTAAAATAATTAAAACCAAAAAAGCATTGTAAGATGATATCATACAGAGACAGAGAAAAAGATAGTGAGACAGAGAGGGTATGTGCATTAGTGTGCAAATATAATCACTCAGATCAATCAGATTTGAAGCACCTGCAGCTGACGACCGTTCACTGCCCGGACTGGTCACTGGCTGTTGTGGGCGGGCAGTGGGCAGTGGGCTTGCCACTGATGCAGATCGTTGGTGGCTAGGGGCCCTTCTCTGTGTTGTATTCAAGCCTGGCCGTTGAATTTTTGGGGCTGCTGGCAGTGATGATTTTCGTACAGTTGAGTCGCTGTCACTATCGCTTTGAAAGCGAATGTTTGGTCTTGTGTGTGCATATAGGGGATTGGGAGGGGAAGAGGAAGAAATTGAAAAAGATTGTGAGAGACTACTAGTATAAAGCATTTGTCATTGGTAAGTTGTGGCACTGAACTTGTAGTGCTTAAGATATAGCACACATCAGACTCCGTAGCCCTATTACTTTCGTTAGCTGGGCAGGAGAATGGGCCTGCCATAACCACTGACTAGGCATGAGTAAAAAAAACATATGAGGAAGAAGATAACTGCATCTGATGATAGACATTAATCTCAGACCACTACATCAAACTCTGAACTATAGGGAGACACAAAACCAGGGACATGTTGCTGAGCTACCAACTCACTCAGATTTGGGTAATTTTGACATTACTTCACAAAGAATCCATCCTCTTTCTCTTTGAAAGTAAAGCTTGGCTTACCATAAACAACTTTTCCTGTGTTCAGGTACATACTATAATCATAAACATCCAGAATCTTGATGTAATAAGACATATACAGCTAAAATACACTCATTAAGTGTATAGGGCAGGTGGCTCAACTCATCCCACAGCTACCTTATGGATTTTATTCCTCCCCACAGCTAAAATGTCATATTGTATTGTCTCATATTGTAGCTCATAGATACCACAACTCATGTAAACAAATTTATAATTATGCCTTTTGGTCTAAACACAACTTTCATGACACTAGATGAGTGACTGAATTCACTCTCAAGAGTGAACTTTTTTTTTTTTTTTTTTGGACATACAGTAAATGTCAAACCACTTTTATATGGTTCTTACCTTCACCTACTCCATGAAATGATGCCTTCATCCTAAATATTTTTTTCTTATGGTATCCCAGCAGCAATGGGTCGCTCAACTTGTCCCTATGCTCAACTTACCCTGGTCTCCCCTATTGAGTGATTTTTCTTCAACATAATGTGAATGAATAAGGAGATTCAGTTTTCAGAGCTAAATGTTATACTCCAGCCTCAAAACATGGCATACTGTGTAGTAGGTGTTTACAGCTCCAGTGTTGAAAGTCATCAATATCATATAAGTAATGATATTATGATATCAATGTATGTATAACAATGTATGAATATATGTTAATTGCATCAGCTAAAGATTTACTTTCTAAACTGAACTGAAGAAGAATTCACTCTAAGTGAGGTGGTAGTTATTGACAGCAGATAATGTAGTAATACATACTACATTTGTGAGACATTAAGAATATGTCTCACAAATGTAGTATGTAGTGGCTTTGAATGCTTACAGTCTTTTTCGCTTTCTCTTTGGTATGTCGTCATCTTCTTCTGCTGTCTGTAGGTCAGTGTGGGTTTCTGCTTGGGGAAGTTTGAGGCGGGCAGTTGTGTAGTTTGCTGTAAATAAAGAGATTCAGACATCATAATTAATAGAGTGTATATGTTTTTAAATGGGGCTTCACGGTAGCGCAGTGGTTAGCACCGTCGCTTCACAGCTAGAAGATCCCCGGTTCGCGTCCCGGTTAGGACGCCTGGGATCTTTCTGTGTGGAGTTTGCATGTTCTCCCTGTGCAGCGTGGGTTCTCACCGGGTACTCCGGCTTCCTCTCACAGTCCAAAAACATGCTGAGGTTAATTGATGATTCTAAAATTGTCTATAAGTGTGAATGTGAGTGTTCTTGGTTGTTTGTCTCTAAGTGTAGCCCTGTGATAGACTGGCGACCTGTCCAGGGTGTCCCCTGCCTTTGCCCTAAGTCGGCTGGGATAGGCTCCAGCCCCCCCGCGACTCTGCAGAGGATTAAGCGGCGTACAAATAATGTACAGACTATGGATG